CTGAAAATTAGGTGAATTGGTTCTTGGCGGGGGCACTGCCGAAAATAAACAGAACGTAATGATTAGAATTTCAATGACAGAAAATCAATACAAATAAGTAAACTTTAATTTACGCAAGCGCTCTGATCATAAAACCACGTGCTAAGTTGACACGGTGCCAAACTTGCTTGCTTTTGTCACATTGGCATAGAGCAATCTCTTGTTAAGCTCTACAATCCTAGTAACCTGGCTGGTTTCTATATCGCTCCTTCTGAAACGGAAGCCTTATTTTGCCAATTGCCACAATTAAACAGGTGGTTGAAGTGATTGAAAACAAAGATTACGTGGGTGATCCTATTTACTTTTAAATTGGACGTTTACCATGATTGCGAACTTCTCCGGGGCCTCCGAGAACCACACTCACGCGACGAAACACAACGCAAGCGTTGTTTCACGTAGGTTTTCCGTGAGGCCGTGATATCACTCCGGTCGGGCCGGCCCATTTATTCTCGTAGTCGTCCGAAGTATGGCTCTCCCATACTTACGTTTTTGCACGGTATCTGGACATACGTTTACGCGTATATATAAGGCACAGAACATGAAATCGTTACATTAAATGACAGTTAGAAGACTACAATTGTTGTAGGTCGAGGATAGATATATATGAATAGGATAGAGGATTCATATACGTATCTTAGCCCCGGCATGAAGTAGAAGTGGGAACGAGGTGGTTTTAGTCAGTAACAGTGTGGCACTCCCTCAAACTTCCCCAGGACGAGAGAAGCTGTTCAAAGAAAGTCCAACTAAAAAAAAACTACAACGAAAACTTTTCACATTACAATCACAATTGCCTCAGATACTTTATTTTAGCCATATCGACCATTATTTTAAGTTTCCTAGCGTGATGTATGAAAATGCGAACTGGTATAACTTCTTCATTTTGAATCCTACAACTTTCACGCCATATTAACTATTGCTCCAAATGGCTAGTTCTAAAGACACGTCCCATTTGTTTTCGTTGGGCTTTTTCTGAAGGCCAACGAAAACAAATGGGGCGTGTCTAATGAAATTTGACACAAATGTTCAATTTAATGGACCGAACTTGGATACCGAATTAGACGTCGCATCGATATTTCGCCCGGATTATTTACGATGCACATTTGCAGATTCTTTACATTTTCGTTAGGTTGGGTTAGATACCCATCTACTCCTATCTTATTTTATTTCTGAGCATTAGGTCTATAAAGGACTACACAATAAAAGAAATTCGCCGCTTGCTCTATTTTTATGTGGTGTGGAAATATTTTTTTTTCTCAAAATGCTCACAGAAATTGACGTTGCTGTGTACTGGCGCCAAAACCACTTATTTTACAAAAGAGCTATCTAGACATGAATTGTAAGAAATTGTGACTAGTTTATTTTGTTGTCAACGGATCTTTCCTAAAATGCGCAGGAAAAGAGATATTGTACAAAATTATGGTGACTTGCATCTAGTAGATGACTTGTCAACGTAGAACCGTACCGTGTTTTAAGGTTCCTAGAAAGTTCAGAACATCACTCTAAATCGCTTACCAAGCACAGGGGGTATAAACATCGCTAGTTAGGTGACGCTTATATTATATACAATTACAATTAATAATAATTATATTTATTTTTAATTGTTTTTATTATTTATTAATAATTATATTTATTATTAATTGTTTAATATAATATTATTATTTTTAATAAAAATAATATTTTAATAAAAATAAAAATAAATATAATTATTATTAATTATTATTAATTAATAATAATTATATTCCATATATTTATTTCAAAATTCTCTATAAAATACATTTTTAAATACTACTTATAAAGACAAAAATAATATTTAAAAATATAAAAAATAGGAGCCGACCAGTAGCGGGAGCATGGTCCAAGCTACCGGTGGTTAGGGCTCCAGAGACAGAAACCTCCTCACGATACGTGCCGTTTCAAGGAGAACTGCCTTCTGTATCAGGCCCTTGACCCAACTACCTAACGCTAGCCTCCTAAGGTGGTTGTCGAGGCTATTAGGGATTAACCCATTGGCCGATACGACTATCGGCACAATGATAGCCGAATCTACATTCCACATGTCGACAACCTCGTGAGCCAAATCAAGATATTTGATTTGTTTATCTTTTTCAGCTTTCACGAGGTTCTCATCATGAGGAATAGTGATATCGATTATCATCGTGCGGCGCACTTGTCGGTCTATCACCACTATATCAGGTTTGTTGGCTATAATAGTCCTGTCAGTGATGATAGACCGGTCCCAGTACAACGTGATATGGTCATTTTCCAGAACTGGGTCGGGCACATACTTGTAGTACGGTACCTCAGACTCAACAAGTCGATAGTGTAAAGCAAGTTGCTGATGGATAATCTTGGCTACTTGATTATGCCTATGCAAATATTCACTGTTAGCCAAACGACCACAACCAGAAATAATATGTCTAATGGATTCACCAGGACTATGACATGCCCGACATATGTCAACCGTCCCATCCTTAATTATATATTTCCGGTAGTTATTCGTAAGGATAACTTCGTCCATAATTGCACAGACAAATCCTTCAGTTTCTCCAAAGAGATTACTGAATCGTAGCCAAGACACGGACGCTAGAAAATCTACACTGGGCCCATGAAGGGCCCGGAAGAAGCGTCCGTGGAGCTCCTTGCTATGCCATACC